AAAAAAAAAAAAAATAGTTAATAAATTAAAACAATCAATTCATATATAACAACAATAACATATATTAATAATGAATTGAATAGAAAATTTAAAAAATTCATATTTTACAAATTTAGGGTCATAAAAAAACATATACGCAGAAATTAGCTCCCTGGGCTTGCACTTAAATTAATATGTCGTAAATTGTCACAAGAATTACAGGCAGCTCGCCTTGGCGTCCCGAACGTGTGAAAAAATGTCGTAAAACGGTGAAAAATAAACGGATTCAATAGATTTTTGTATGATATCTGAGAAATGTCATAGAGCGAGTCTGGTCAAAATTTCAAACCTTAGATTGCAAAACGTTTGTGGGCGAGCGGTAAAAATTTTCGGACCTTCGCCTATACTTTTGATTTATCAGAGTATTATAGGAACAAAAGTTATGTTACAATATTACAGCGATAAATTAATAAAAAGTCAATATAAGTTAACTACAAATTATTCATTTTTAGATTGTTGGAAATAAAAAAAAGACAATAATTCATAATTAAAACTTATTTACTCGTATATATTTATCACCAAATATAAAGTTTTTATAACGACCAACTAATATAAAATCTTTATTAGTGAATTTTTTTTAGTTTTCATATATGTTTAAATCTAAAAAGCTTTAGGAAATACTGTACTTTAATAAAATCGTGTAATCATAAATGGATTATTCAAAAATTTTACTTAGATTACTTTCAATATTTTTATATTTTCGGGAAAATAATTGTTCGGGAGAATCAAAGAAGTCAATAAATACACATGAACTTATCGTTAAACTTAATGATATATTATCGTTTACTGATTCATGGAAAACATTTTCTAACATCAATGTTAGATTATTATATAATTTCAAAGATCGTTATTATACAGTAGTCAATTTATTTGAATATCTTTTTAGTATTGAAAATACGGTCAATGATAAAAACGAAATGGCAGGCAACTCTACACAATGTAATTATTATTCAGCCATTAAAGCTAACTACCAACATATATTAGAGTTAGTTATCAATATGGTCAAATGTAAGTACATAGAAAAAATAAAAGTGATCTTAACTTTAATAAGGTTACTAGTATCTGATTTTATTAATATGTTTATGATGCCAAATAAACAACCGTTGACCACGATTGATATAATAGAAAAGCTCAATGTAATACAATTAATTGAAAAATCAATTAGTCGTTTTAAATTCCTATTAGATAAAATGATGATTGTCCTGGCAAAACTTCACGATATGGACACAGGATATTACTTCAGTTTAATATTAGTTCAACTACTTACAAATATGCACAAAACATTTAATGACACATTTCACCCAAATTATGATAATCCGGACGAGATCAATCAACTGTTAAAAAAATTATATCGTAATATTTGTTCAAGGGCATCAAAATTGTGTTCAATTAATATATGTTTACCCAATAAAAAAAGTTTAAATTCTGAATTTAAAAAGCAAGATGAAAAATGTTATTTTAATTTCATAAGTGAGAAAATTAACAATACAGTAAATGAAACTATAAATATGTATACCTTTAATTTGCTCAACATTAACTAATTAAGTTATTTAAGTATTCTAATAAAATCAAATATTTAATGATATCAATTAATGTAATGGCATTTTAAGACATTTTTTAATGCGGGAGGGGGGTGTTCAGATAATATTTAGAATTTAGAGTAGTTGGAGAATCTCATATTTATATTTCATAAATAAAATATTTTAATGTCATGTAACTTATAAAATATTAAAAATGTTAGACTAAATTACATAAATGTATAATAAAATTAATATTATAAAAATTCTTTTGACCGATTTTTATTTGGACTGATATTATAATATTGTAAATTATACAGAGAAATTATAAATATTTATTAAGTTGTTATGTTACGTGATTCTTTTAATAATAGCTACTAAATTTTTCTTAAAATAATAATTATATTGAGAAAATTTGTTTTGTTATTTTACGTTAGAATATTTTTATAATAGTCAAATTTTAATATTACTGCTATAACAGTAATATATGATTTTGTCCATGAACATGTTAATTTTATATATTTCTTGATTTATTAATTATTAAGTTTTTTTTAATATATTTCTTATACCTTACTAGGATACAAAATTAATTTTTTTAAACTCCTATATAAAAATTTAACTAGTTTATAAAATAAAAATTATCTAATTATAATAACAAAACAAAGAGAAATACTAAGTAATTATAAAAAAAATTGGCCCCATGAATTCATTATATTAAAATTAATATATTCTTTGCTTCTAATCGAAGCTAACATTCTATTTTATTGTAATCAATAGTTCGAAGTAAAAATTCGAGTGAATTTACGGCTATCACGTGATAATCAGAGTTTAGTCTACGAAGCTCTTTATAATTCAAAGTTATTTAAAAAAATAAGCTGTTTGCTGTTGCCGTTTTGAACACCGATAGAAATTAAGTTTTATGAGTTATTTAACGTTGTGAATTTGACTTTTTTTTTTATAATAATTACTTGAATAATTAAAATGTGAGCCTTCACCAAAAGTTTAGTAGTTGTGAAACATCAAAAATATTTTGTATAGAAAATATTTATTTAAGTAAAAATAATATAACATAACGTCTTGATAAAATTAAAAATCATTGTCGTTTAAATCTTTTTGAAAATTAGCTTTTCAACATTTTCGCATAGTAGACAAATCGTCGTACCTTTTTTAAATAATATCTGACGTTAAAAATAATTTAATTTAGTGTAGTTATCGATACGCGGAACATATTTAAAAATTGAGTTAAAATTTTTTTTGTGTATGCGTGAATGGTCTCTTTCCTGTATTTAGGTTTTTCACTAGATATTCGATTGGATCATAAAAGTATATTAAAAGATAGCTCTCTAGTATACTCTATTAAAATTTCATTAGGAACAGTGTTTTTAGAAAAAACTTAAAGCAGTTTTAAAATACAGAAAAAATAAATTGAAAATATCTAATTTTATGGTTGTGTAATGTTGTATTTTTATACATTTTTAAAATCAAGGGGTTTTTATTTTAATTTTCAGCGACGATTAGTTCAACTAAATTAAAATTGAGTTTTTTTGATATATAGAGCAACAAAATCAATTCTGCGTGAGCTGAGAATTTGATGAAAATTTTTGAACAAACATAAAAAAAACACACCATAGTAAAACCATTACTTATTTAGCTTCGCATCAAAGCTAAAATAAAATACTAAAATTGTTTTTTGCATATGATAATTTGCAGCCTACATTATTGTGTTTACTGGAAAATTTGGTACTGATCTCTCCCCCTCCAATGAAATTTACTAGTGTTAGCCTTAAATAAATATATATTTAAGGGACTACAATATACATTACACATATGAAAATATAGATGTAATTGAGTCGTGACCTAACTTAATTAGGACTAAAAATAACTCTGACAATAATTAACATCACTCATTGTTGACATTTTTTAAAAAAACTCTGCCTAAAAAGTTTAGTAAAATTATTTATAAAACTTTTACGAGGTTAATGAAACTTTGACGCCAATTTGCACATAGAAGATATGTCCATAGTTTTTTTTTTTTTAATTAAGTATATTACACAAACTATAATTTAACATTAAAGATGTTTTCCAAAATACTTTTAAATATTAAATTTAATGTTTGTATGAATAAGTGACCTTTTAAACATTGAAAATAGAAATGTTGGACAAATTTTTAATTTTAATTAGTCTAAACACAACAATAATAGCATTATTTGACTAATTAAATGTATTGTCGAATAAAATAATAAACACTACAAAATTTATCTTTAGTTACGATGCGAAACTGAAAAGGTATTTAAATTTTTTTCTAAGTGCGATAAAATCATTGAAAGATTATAAATTATTTACATGGATAAACGTAAAATCAAATAAATCTTTGATTTATTTTAGCATTATCTCAATGAAGTTGAAAGTGTTGTAAAATTTAAATTCATCGTTCAATATAAAATGAATTGTGATTTTTTTCTAAATACAAAGGAATTCGATTTTTCATGAAAAAAAAAAGTAATATACGATCACAGAATAGATTAAACAGAAATAGTTTAATCTATTCTGTTATACGATTACAGTAAGCCGTACAGGAAAATAACAAGAATTAACAAATAAGAAAATATTATTCCATGCAGTATACAATTATTGTTTTTTTCATAACTGCACACGACTGATAACAATTTCCTAATGTCGCCAAAACCTGTTTTCGAAACAGCCGTCGACGGTCACATGTGCGTTACGAAGTTAGTTAGGTGCGCCACAGAACGACATCAATAATTTAAAAAGTAGTGAAAAAAATTTCTCAGGAGGGCAAAAAGTCTGTAGGACTAGAGGTCGCAGAAAAATGATTAATAAGTTAAAATAAACATGACATTATTATTTACATCTTAACATGGACAAATTTCGATAAATCATTTTTTAATAGAGATATAACAAAACTTTGGGTCCTATTATATAAAAATCGAAAATTACCCATGTAGAAATATTTATAACTATGTCATGTTTAATTTAACATAATAATTAAATCATTTCTCTGTAACCACCTTGGTCCTTTAGAATTTTTGTTTTCCCAAAACATATTTTGAAACGAAATTGTCGTTTTTAAGTAAAATTTTCGCATTTGAAATACTTATTTATTTAAAATATGAAAATTAAACAGAACAGTCGTAAATAAGGATTTTGTTGTGATGGGATTACAAATGACACATTTTTTTATTATCCAAAACTAAAAAATTTGCTATTGTACTGACTAGGGCACAATTGCTGTCGGCATTTTTCATCAGGGGTCGTAAGCTCTCCTTCCATAAGACTACCATCTAATTTTCAATGTATAATTTTGCTCTGATCTATCCTTTGTAACCCCTTAAATTAGAATAATTATTTTTTAAGTATAATAAAAAAGTTTTAATGGGGTAAATAGGATTTTAAAAATAATTTAATTTATTTTGGAAAGGATGATCTTAATTTATAATAAGGGAAATGGCCTAATTTAAAGAGTCAAACGTTTTTTAATTTATTTGACTATACTGAATATATACACAATATTGTAATTTGATTATAAGAGATTACAACTGTGTATGAGTTTTTTATGAGAAAATCACTATACTAAAACATTAATTTAAGTGGTGGTAAAAAGGCACTTAAAAAGTGTTTATGTTATAATAATTATTAAATGCAGTCGTTAACATACATATTTTAGTCAACGCTATTTTTGCCGTCTCGCTAGTTTTTTAATTCTCACAGTTACTTTAAAAACGATAATGAAGTGTAATTCATATAGTTAAGTATTAAAAAATGTATGTACTTTATAGATGACATAAAGACTATTAAATGCGCAATTTACAGGACAATAATTAACGGGAAGTATTTTAAAGGTAGTTTTATACGAAATCTTGTCTTCTTCATCTTTTCTTGCTTATATCTCTTGAAACCACTAAATCATAAGTCCCAACAAAACCCAGTTGACAAATTACGATAACCAATGCAATTGTACAAGATAGTTTAAGACTGTCGTATTTAAATTGTCAACAATTATGAGAAATCAAATGTTTAAAAAGAACATTTTTTGTTTAAAGCCATGATCCCTTCATAATTGTAACTTATGAAGCCATTAGATTTAATTTGTTACTTAAATCATGTATTTAATAAGCATAAAATAATTTATTATTCATAATGAAATTTATTGTAGTAACTTTTTACAATAACTTAAAAAATTTTTTTACAAAACCATTTATAATTGATTTTATTTACTATAAAATTTGAATATGAGTGACATGCGTTTTTAAAATGGGTGAATACGATAATTTTGATAATTAATACTTACTCATATCAGCCGCGTTACGAATTAACAGATCTTGTGTGTGTAATGATTTTTTAGAAGGCACAGATTCATTTGGCTCCGTATCAGTTGCAATAATGGGACGTTTCATCAAATTTTTAACTGTCTTTTTATTTTCTACGTTATCATTGATGTTAATATTCATTTGTTCTGTAGATTTCTTGGTCAAGTTTTCCAGTGTGTTTTGTGGAGTACAAAATTCCTGACTTCCAACCTGTAAACCACAATGCGTTGATTCTGTCACATCGTCAGTTCCTGTTACCATCGTCTGTTGAGATAAGTTTGGATCAAGTGCAATGTCAGCGTTTGGATTCATAACGAATTGTTTAAAAATACTAAGACGGCAGTTTCCAAACCGACTACAAAAATATAATAATACCGCTTTGCACGTGTTTATTGTCAGTAATAGGCGATAGCAAAATTATTAATAAACAATAAAAACCATACATAGATTTGATATATTGATTTTTTTAGTCTGTTGTACACAGTTATTCTGGATTTACCCGTTATTGATAGTATCCCGTGTTTATTTCATTATTAAAGAATAACCTCGGCACGTTTAGATTCTTGAACATCGTAAAATGTCATAAGGGTAACGTGCTCGTGTATGTCTAATATACGTATGTAATTTGGGACGAGTTCTTTGAAATTTATTTTTAAATTTAACTGAGTAAATCATTGAACACTTGTGACAACACGATTAGGTCGAAACCAGCGGTGTATTGAATGTGTTTTTAAATACAGCACTTAAGAATGTTGAGTTATTGAAAGTAGAAAAACACTTCAAACACAAAATTACCACCATCAGCTATTTTATATCCTATGTTAAATTAGTTGTTAAAAAATGACCTCGGATTTTTAAAGACTAACAACGAGAACCATTTGTGTACCCTTTCATAGACGCCCATCTATAAATTAGTATAGTTCAGTTCAGAAACACTATATATACACAATAGAATGGATCCAACTGACAACTCCTATAAATTTTGATACAATCAATATATCGTTTTAATTAAAATTTTTAAACAAATTTTGAGATTCTTAGCCTTTCTTAAAAATACATTTTTAGTATTTATTTAAATAAAAATATATTTTTTTTAATTTCATCATAATTTTAAAAGTCTTTTTTTTTTAACTTTTCTCATAAACAATTTTGACAGATTGATAATAACTTGTAAGTCTTGAAGTGCTTATCGAGTTACAAGCATTTGTATACAATTGAGTGGGTTCGTAACTTGGGTGGGTACAACTTGTACTGGTTTACAAGTTGCGTATGTATTTTAGATGTACACTTCATCCTTTTAAGAAGTCAAAAAATGCAAAAATTGTTTAATAAATAAATTCTAGCGAAAATTTAACTATATCAAAAGTTGTCAGTGAGATCTGTTCGACTCTGTCTATTCAAATGTGATATGTGCACACACACACACACGCCTGTTATTTCATAAGCAAAAGTTCGTTCGCTGTTCTCAAAAATCCTGTTTTTAGCTACCTGTGTGATTTCCGTCACCTCACCACAACCACCTATTATCTCACAATAATGATAAGCCTATACGTTATCGTCGTCTTTCGCTTCATCTAAAATCCGTTCGTTGCGGCGTTCTACTGCCGACATAACGTCGCGTTGTAACGGCCGTCCGTTGTCCTCGAAAATGCTGTTTCTTGCTACCAGTTTATTGCCGATACGATCCAATAGCTTCTGCAGACGTATACGCCTCACCGTTGACCGTTTTTAATATTCACCAGACGTCCGCACACGTCATTACCCATTCGCCGCGTCCCTCAACTACCCGGGTTGTAATTTTTCATGAATGTCAGCCGTCTATACCCGTCAGCTAAAAGGCGTACACTGCCCTTGCGGAACAGCCTGCACTACCGAAGCAAGCCAAAATTTGCATTATATCTACGATTTCTGGCGCTCAATACACAAAATGTGTGATTGTCCATTTCGAGAGTGACGTAAAAACTAGAGAACACTACGTATGGCTTGCAAACTAACTCAATTCAACCGCTTGATATGTATTACAATTAATTAATTTCTACTTTTCATACTCCCAGCACCTAATGAAATTGTTGATGGCTGTAACTTTTTGTCAAATAAATACATTTTCTGTATTGTTAAAAACCTTGCGAGTGAGTCAATTTTATTATGCTTAAAAATATAACTATGTTATTTTATTACCAAAAATTAATTATGCAATATAAAAAAATGTATAATTTAACAAAGGTTGGATTTTAATTTTACGAAAATAAATTTTTATGATTTTTATGTAAATGATTTTCAAATGTGATTTTACGATTCTGTTTTTCTGATATTAGTTGGATATTTTTGATATTAGTTGGATATTTTTTGTTATAAAACTTATTAAAACTGTAAAAATGAGTTATTCGTACTGTTTGTTAATACAAAGGGCTGCTTGCCTTTGAATTACCGCACTCACATACAACTATCAAAAATAGTTTATATTAATATAATTCATAGATTAATAAGCAATAATATGGATGGTAGAAAACCGGGCGATCTATCATATAACAAAAAAAAATTCTTTACCAAGTGTAAATCGATTTGTTTTCATGTATTTTAATTTGAATTTGAAATAAAAATTTCATAATTTACTTTGTTTCGTTAATGAAAAAAAAATTATCAATTAGTCCTAAAAAACGGTACACTGTGTTGAGAATTAATATTTTCGTTTATTATTGTAAAAAACGACACGACCCCGATCAATTAGTCAGTTATAGTCCGTTCTATATTTGAGTAATCGATTGTGCATTATTCCACAGAAAAGTATCAATAGTGAAAACAAGGGCGTGCACAAGTATAATAAAAATGTCGTAATGTCTATCATAATAAGAGAAATTATTACTAATAATAAAATCTGATTTGTATTCGATCAATGACAAACTCCGTTAGAAAATTTAAGGAATCTGTCAATCATTTGTTTTATTGATATTCTACACACAATAAACTTCATATGCTGTTCTATTAACTTAAGACGCAAACGGTTTTAGTTTCGATGCGAAGCTGATAAGATATTAATTTTACTGTGATGTTTTTTTTTTTGTCTGTTACCATTTTTTTCTCAGCTCTCATGGAACCGATTTTTCGTAATGTCATAGGTATAGTTAAAACTACTCTTATCTGATATTCACTGGAGAAACAACAATACAATCTCAGCTGATGATATTTAGTTCTTCGAAGAGTTAGTTTAAATTAATGGTAGTGTGTTAATAAGAATAAAAGTATTTCTAAAAGCGGATACCCACGACTGGTGTACTTGCCAAGTACACCAATAATTGTATACTTGCCAAATCATCCAATTATTAACAAGTGGAGCGTTTCCATGAGTGGTATACTTGACAAGTATACCAGTACTTGTATACTTGTACAAGTAATAAACAAAAGCCAAGTATACTATTCCTACGATCAAATGCCAAATAATTGTATTGGGAGCGGGAAATATTAAGACATATATCATTTGCTTTTTTAGCGCTGCAGTGTTTGGACGTTTTAGTAAGTAATTTGAAATACATTTTTTAGTATTGCTAGTTTTAATACCTTTTAGTTTAATATTTTTTTAGTTAAGATAGTTCTTTAACTTTTACCTTTAATTTTTAGTTTTTATTTTTCTTTAACCTTAAGTTAATTAAAATGTCTAGTGATAATGATAAAATGTTTATGCTTCATACATAATTATGTGTGGAAAGTGCTTAAAGTACAAAAAATTGAAAAAAAAAGATGGTAGATGACATTGTTATATAAAGAAAGACAATGGTAAGTTTTTTTTTTATTTGTAATTTTTATGTTAAAAACTAGTAAATTACATTTATTAATCGATTTTAAGTAGTCAAATAATTTATTAATATTTTCTACCAAAGTAAATTTTATTTTTTTATGTATAATTTTTTATTTTTAGTTATTATTAACTATAATATGAATAATTAATTCGTTGCTGTCGTGCAAAAAATGGCTTGTGACTTTTTTTTTTCGATTTTATTCTTAAGTTGAAAGAAACTTTTATATCAATAATAGGATATAAATAACAAAACAATAGTATACTTTTCAAAAGTTTAATTTAATTTAATCGAAAATTTTTAGTCATTCAAAGAAATTTTCAACCTTTAATTACTGATATAAAAAACAAATTTCACTTCTTGCACGACAACGACGAATTAATACTAGTAGTAAATATAGCTGGTGTCATTACGTGTAGATACACTCATAATTTAATAACACTTTTCTGGATTATATAAAAATTATACTTCATTATTTTTGTAATAAAATATATTTTTAAAGAGTCCAGTTAGAATGAGCAAGTTTATATATTGTTGTAACTCGTTAAATTGAATTTTTGTAGAGTTATTTCAGCGAATTAAAAAAAAAAAAAAAAAAAATATATGTTTTAACCTAGTAACAAGTTTTTGAAAAAAATCAACTAAAGTTTACTTTTTTAAAAACATGTTTTTTTTTTTTTTTAATTTTTTCTGACTTCTAGAATAATGAAAATACTCCCATAATACATAATGCTCCTTCAATACTTCAAAACATTTTTACTACGATTAATATAAATTAATTTTTAAAGGTAAAGAGCAACAAATATAATGATAGATTTAAGGCGCGAACCATCCGGAAAGTTTGAGAACTTTTGCCGAATATCTGATAAGGTTATATTTATATTTTTTAATTACGTTGAATTGTAGTAAAATAATTTATGATATTATTTAAATTGACAATAGTGTAACCTATGTTTTAAGGAACCAATAAACGTGTGTTTTCATCTATATTGTGTGTTTAATTCAATTTTTTTTAAATAATCGTTTTTATAATCAATTATTATTAAAGTAATAAAAGATACATATCTTATACTCTATTTTCAGACATGAAAATTTGAATTAGAAGTTCAATTCCATATACTACATATAATAAAACATATACTAAAAATGTTTATTAAGCAAATAAAAGGTTATTAATTTTATAAACAAAGCCTTTATCAATTTAAATGTGGGTTTCTATTTTAAAAATAAATTTAATACCTTTATAAACCAGAAATCCGTGACCAAGTCGGAATAAGGCATTAGACAATAAAATACCATTATAAAATTTTAAGGAATTATTAACTTTATTACATATAGTTAATATTATTAATATTATCAAAAATATAAAAATGTATTGAAAATTTATCGTCTGTTTCATTGAAATGATCGAATTTTTAGCCCAGTAGGTTGCAATTATAACTTAAGTTATACAATATTTAAACCTTTCAAAATAACACTATTATTGTTTGGTTGTTAAAGTACCAACTTTATGTAATATTTAAAGAGTATTTAGGAATAATAATAAGTGAACTTACTTGTTCATAAAGATGTATAAATTCAAGAGTGGTTTCGTTGGTCCAAGTTGTCTTGGTTTTTACAATTTAAATAATTTAAAGAAAAAAAAAAAGTGCAAAAATATGTTAACGTAAAAATTAGACGATGGTTTTACTGAATTTTACCAAACAATTGACAGCAACCACTTAAATATAGTGTTTTGATAGTGAAACGTATTCAATTTATAATATTAATACATTTATCTCCTTTTTTTTAGTAATTTGGCATTTCCAGTAAAGCCTTTTATTTATTTACTACCTATATTCATTTTTCGCTTGCATTCTTATTATGATTACTTAAAAGTGATACTTACTGATATAAATGTAAAGAATTATCATTTTACTTAATTTCTAAGTGCCGGGTTGCAAAAACAAAAAATTGACCGATTAATTCATTTTCATTTAATTATAGCCATCGAAGCTTGAAATAAAACTATTTTTACACTTATAGTTCTAATATAACTTTATGAAATAGAAAATGCTATTACTATAAAATATTTTTCAGTACTAAACTGTATTTACAATTATAATATAGAATAATTTAACTATCTATTAAATTTAATTAACTAATTAGGCCAACATGAACCACTGCTATACTGTACAAATATAGGTGGACGGGGAAGAAAAAAATATGTTACCGATAGCCACCCTAAAATCTAATATTGGCTTAGTACTTGACAAGTACACAAGTGTGCACTAGTGAACTACAAGTGTAAACTTGTCAAGGCATTAATTTCTTTGGCTTGTGTCACATTTACAGACAATCCGCGGGAAACTGACAAGTGACCTATAATTGTACAATAGGGTGGTCCTTATTTAAACTTAGTGATTTTTTTTCAAACAAATTTGATGTCAAGTGATCGGAATTTTGTTCTATACAGCATACAAAAAATATTAGTGAATTTTGAGCATACTAGGTCAACTCCTTCACATGCCTCAAAGGGGTTGAAAATTGACAAAAAGATGTAGGAATTTAGTTGTTTGTATATATCTTTTTAATTAATATAAATAGAAACTTCAGTATTATCTATTTTTGACGATCTTATTCATTTAAATATAAAGAGAAGAGTGGCCAATCAAATCATGGACTACATAAATGACAAAAAAGATGTAGAATTTTAAGGAGAAGCCTAAAAAAATTAATTTTAAAAAACAACGACGTTACAGATTTTTTAAACAAGGACTAATCTTTTAGTTTACTAACGCCGAATTCAAAACAATTTTTACAAAAGCTTTCAAATCAGTACTACATTTTTAAATGAAAAACCAGAATGTTGGAGCGCAAATGAATATTATATCAATGGAAAAATATTTGTTAAGGCTTAGCGATAGTTTACGATGCAGAAGAACGAGGAGTAAAGCTAATGATGTAATTTAATACAAAATTTACTAAAAATTGAAAATCAAAAACAATACAATTTACACGTAATTATTTAGAATTCAATTATCATTATAATAAATTATTGTTCATCAATTAATAATTTATTTATTATAAAGGTCGTTCGAGAGTACAGAAACAAATATCGAGAATTCTCTAAAGTCAGTTTTGTAAAAAATGTGTTCACCGCAATAAATTTAAGTTTTATTACAGATTTTAACAAAATAAATTGAAACATTCATTATTTTTTAAATTTTTACTTATATTGTAGTACTACAAAAAATTATGTTATTGCCATTTTTTTATGCATAAGTTTTTAAAAATATTTTTGTAGATGAAATATTTTCGTATTTGCAATATTTATAGAAATAAACGATAAAGACCAAAAAATACTATGTTTTTACAAAAAATAAAATAAAACAGTTTTTATTAGTTAAACGTTAAACAATTAATATTACAAAAAATCGCAAAGACCTTTTTTCTTTGCATTATTGTTTACTGCATAATTAATTCTGTGGAATTTTTTCTATTTATAATAATGAAAAAGATATATACAAAAAACTAAATTCCAACATCTTTTTGTCAATTTTCAACCCCTTTGAGGCACGTGATGGGGTTGACCTAGGACACTTAAAATTCTCTAATATTTTCTGCATGCTGTATAGAAAAAAATTCCGATCACTTGACATCAACTTTTCAAATTTGCAAAATAAAGACCACCCTATTGTACAAGTATAGTGTTCCAACGGCTTTACAAGTATATACAAGTGACAAATATTTGGCAAGTACACCAGTCGTGGGAATCCACCTTAAGCAAAGTCTTAGTTACATTAACAGATATAAGTTTTATACTAAGTGAAAGAAGATGATCTAAGTATAAAAGACACACTAAGACTGCAAAAACAAAACTAAAGCCATGACATAAGAAATAAAAAGAAGTAAATGAGCGAAAAAGCTCTGGTCACCATAAAAAAATTTAAGTTTTACAAAATTTGGATCGATCAAAACTAACACGTGCCGCAAGAGGGTTCAAAAATTGAACTCAAGGGTTGGTATTTTAGATTAATGTAAATTACTTAAAAATTACGACTCTTACAGTAAAAGTAAATATAATACAAATTAAAAATCTACTAATTATCTCTAAAAAACGTATGGACAAATTTTAACAAAGTATAGAATTTGACTGTAAAAAAAAAATCGAATTTTTACCTAAAACAATAGCTTTTTAATAATATGCTTATATTTAATTAACCGTTCATTACACGACTAAATGTTTCATATAAAATTTAAAAATTAAGTAAAAAATATTGTACCTCCAACATTTTTTTTGATACGTCGAACTTGATAAATAATTCTAATAATTTTACTAGTTGTAATAAAAATAATAATAATCTCATTATATACCATGGCATGCACGATAGTATTATACACTGATTTCTATAATTAAATGTCAGCTATTTGGTTTTATTGATATAGTGACATAAAGTTATCATTCGTGTTGTTGTAAATAATGACCCGTAATTTACCAATAATAATCATGCCAATTTTATATAATCATATACTCTTGTATACATAAACTCATTAGTATTTTAATTTATATTACTTATAGTATTTTATCAAATTGATTTGTTTTTCGAGTTTTAAATCAATTTACCTACAAAGTTTATTTATAATCATAAGTATTTATAAGTAGGCTTCTCAATCAAGAAATATACGAAATAAGAAAAAGTTTATCTAGTCATATTAAAAACCAAATAGTTGGAAATAAGTTACTATCGAACAAAGAGGTACTAATTGTACTTTTTATGATTTACGACATGTGCAGTTAAAATTACGCGATAGTTTTAAATAGGCTATTAAACAAGCATGTTTATTTTGGGACAAAAAGCTAGAATTACATGCCAAGATGAACAACATTGTATAATAAAAATTGAATAATTGTATGATACTTTGAGACAACAGCAAAAATTATCTAAAAGATTGACTAAAGACTATTTGTTCGATATATTCTATTCAAATGCGTTGAAATTGATTTCTATTGAGGAAGATAAACGATTTTTGCATATGCAAAGAGGGGAGGTATACGAGGCTGTATGTTGGGCACTAATTGTAATTTATTTCTAAATAAAAAAAATGATGAAAATTTGAAAAAATCGAAGAATTTAAATATTGTACTTATTCCGAGATGGAAAAACATCGTAAGTTGAAGCAATCTTCTTGCAGCACGTGTTAAGGTTGATCAATTTTAACCAAATTTTATAAAACTTATTTTTTATGGTACAATTTTAGGAGGGTGAAGGATGAATTTTAAAAGTTCAAAATTAAGGGCCACTCAATGTGTTATTTATAAGGTCACTGCCATTAGTCTTATGATAAAAATAGCAAAAATCGAAATGTCCTTGTGATATTAGACACTGTGTGATCCAATCCATGTACTCAGTGGTGTATTTAGACATTTTTAACGGGGAGGGCACAAACAATGTTCATGAATAAGGTACCATAAAACGACCTTTTTTTTGCTCATAACTTGTGTTAACACATATTTTAGATTTTTTTGAAAAAACATATGTTATTTGTTTTGAATCCATTTTTATTAATAAAAATATTTCATTTTATACAGTGTGTATCTCTAAGTAATAAACACTTCAAAAATAGGTGATAACATTAACGGGACAACTTTACGGATGTCAAATTTTGTTCCGCAAGACAACTATATCGAATAACATTTCATAAACCCAAGTTATTATCGATAATCAAAATATAACTTTTTCTAATGATATTATATATAATTACATTGATTGGTTAAATATTTACATGACTCAGTCAATGGGGGAGGCACGTGCCCCTGTGCTCTCCCTCCCCTCTTAATACGCCACTGCATGTACTAAAGGTTTAACTATTTTTCTTTTATTATATTTTTGGTGTCACGGAGATATGAAGTAAGTATTGACTCATTATTTCATCTTCTATTCTAATCTGATTCTAATCCTTCACAAACATTACTCGATGAGATTAAATGGTCTAT